TTTTAATACTATTTTGTACTCTTTAAAAAATAAAAACTAAGAAACAAATTTAAAGCATTTAAAATTTCTAAGACTTGCTTTTCTTAGAGACATCACAATAATCAGGATACAGAGCCAACCTAGTATCTATTAATTCATGAACAGATAACGGAAATGTAATATAAAAACATGTAAAGGAATATTATCCAGTATCTTAGCTGTGATTTTGTTGTTTGAGAGCCTCAGCTCCACTGGTGCTGGAATTACAGGAATGTGCTACCATACTCAGTTCAGGTTTAAAAAGAAGGAAATTCCGCCAGTTTTGAAAAGAATGAACCTAGATGATATTATGCTAAGAAAAATAAGGTTAAGTACTGAAAGATAGATACTGCAAGATCTTGCAGATATGTGGAACCTGTAACAGCTAAACTCATGAGGCAGAATAGAATGGAGACAGAGCTAAGAGAGGAAATAGGGAGATGTTCATCAAAGGATACAGAGTTTTAGTGAAGCAAGATGAGTAAGTTCTGGGGATCTAATGTACAAGATAGTGATTATAGTTAGTAATGGTAATACCACTTGAAATTTGATAAGAAAATAGATCGTAAATGTTCTCAGAGGGAACTGTGTGAGGTGATAAATATAATAATTTACTTGATTGTAGTGATAATTTCACAGTGCATGAATATATTGTAACATCACACTACACTGTAAATACATGCATTTTACCTATCAGTTATACCTCAATAAAGCTGGAAAAAAATCTTTCATTTTCCTAGGCATCATCTGGGATTCCTTTTAAATGACTTTGCATATGACAGATGTGAGGCTTCTTTGTGTTTTTGTCAAGAAAACAAATCTGGAGGCAAATCTGTACTTTTCATTGATACCTATGTAATTAAATCCTTTACGTTTTGCATTTTGAGTTGCAGCTGGGTCCATGTACATCTATGTATTTGCATATGGATGTTCATAGCTTTCCTTTCAGTGATATGCTATATGCTGGGATGGCATCAGGAAGGAACTTCACATGTTAAAAATATGATGTGTGAACATGACTGAGGATGACCCCAACAATGCAGGAAGGTTGAAAATGCACAGCAGCTTGGTATGGCAGTGCATGCATGGGACTCCCCACTCAGTCAGGAGGATCACTGTGAGCTTTCGGCCAGCTTGGGCTACAAAAGTGAGTTCAGGGCCAGCCTGCACTACATAGTGAGACCCTGTCTCAAAAAACAAAACAAAAAGAAAATAACAGTAGCATATTCACATTTCCACTGCCTAGATAGAATCATCCATCTTTTATTATTTGTCTTAGTTCTGGTTATTAGTTTCACAAATTAAATAGTAAAATTTTATTTCTCTTACTTGTTTAATCAAAGTTGAATAATAAATTTTGAATCCCAGTTATCAAGTTGGGGAATTATCTCATTTCATGCTAAATCCATTTTCTTTTCCTAAATTCAATTAATTTTTTCATTTAAGTATTATATTTTTAACTCTATTTTGTGAATCATGACCTATGACCGTATCTACAGATGGAGAGGGAAGAAATTAAGGTTTCAGCTCTCCTGCACTTCTTGCATATTCTGACTTCTTCCACCTGTTAGTCATGTGGCTTAAGGAGAAAATACATTTTCTGGAAGGATATTGGTTTTCTTGTAGAATCAGTATAGATTCTGGACACTTAATCTCTAAAATTGAGACCGAAAAGCAGGGGCCGATGCTGTTAGCATGTGTCTTTAAAGCTGTCACTGCTTCTCAGACTTCAAGATCCAAAATGCTGGGTGGGAATATCTGATTAGCTTATTCTAGATTAGATACCTACCCTAGCTCTCAGGCCCCTATGGAGAAGAAAAGTCTTATTTTCTTTTGGTCTTTGAAATATGTATTTCGGTTAGGTGAAATAAACTATACAAGTGTCAAAAGAAGTAGCAGAGTAATGATGATAAATTAGTGAAACTGGAAGGTCAACTCAAGGAACTCTTGGAAGGTATGACAAAGTGTTAAAGAAATGGGAAATGTAAAAGCAAGGCAGAGCAATATGAAAGAAATAGAAGAAAACTTAAATAAATGGAAAGAGGTCCCATCTTTATGAATTAGAATTGTTGACATTGTTAAGATATCACTACAACCCAAACAGGGTCAATGCAGTCCCTGTCTAAATCTCAGCTGGATTTTTGATGTTGTCGTTGTTTTTTCAGAAATTTACAAACTTGTCTAAAATTTATTTGGTATTATAAGAGACTCGAAAACAACTTTAAATAAGAATTAATAATTTGGATGATTCACACTTCAAAACTTCGAAATTTAGTACAA